ACGAGCCGTGCCTCCCTCCGTGCCATGCAGGCAGCTCCATGCCAGCGCTCCTGGAGCAGCTCTGGATGCCTCTTCTGGACAGAGGCAGGCAAGAGTGTTGGCTTTCCTCTCCCTGGTCCAGAGGCTCTCCCAAGCTCTGGACATGTTGCCAGGGGGGGTCAAGTTTCGCAAGGGGGCTGCTGTTCCGAAAATGAATGGCTGGGACAAACAGTCCACAGGAATGTGTCACGCATGGGGATGGAAAGGAGGAGCAAATCTCTTCCAGCTGCAGTAGGAGGTCGCATCCTTCCCTTGACACATGCAGCTGGTGCAGGGGCCGGAGCAAAGCCCTGTTGCTGCCTCTCTGGGAAAAGAGGGCAAGCAGGCTGGGCTGCAAGGGGAGCCCATGTTTTCGGCCTGACGCCAGCATCTTCTTAGCACCTTATTTCCCCCTCACCCCTGCGTAAGTCTAGGTGAACTCACTGGCCTTAGACACTCTCCCCCTCATGCAGCCATCTCCCCTCTGCACTCTCCCATCCCGGGTGACAGGAACCCTGTAAGTATTTACGCGGAGCTGAGTACGAGGCACAGAGCTTCAGGCTGAGGACGCCCTGTGTGTCAGACACCGAGGCCAAGTTCCCGCTTCCCGGGCAGGAAGCGGGTTTCAATAGTCACAGCTGGATTTAAACCGCTGGCTTGGTGTGAGAGCCGCCAGCGCCAGCCAGCCCGAGTCAAGCCAAGCAGGCAGACGGAGAAGAAGGGAGGCAGAAATCTTCAGCTGCGTAAAAGTGACTATTAAGAGGCGAGGAAAGGGGCTGTTCCTCCCCAGAATGGTGGTTCCCTTAAGAGTCCTCCAGTGGGGGGCCTGCCAACAGTCTCAACACAAAACAACAGAAAAGAAGAGGATGCCAATGCTCTGAGTGGGGAAGGAGGCTCATAAATCCGTCCTGAGGGTAATTACGGAAACCAGACCACATCTGATTTCAAAACACAAGTGACAGCCCACTCCTGTGGGCTCTGCAGCAGCCTTGTGCCAGCTGGCCCGGAGCGGGGCAAGCAGGACAGAGCCGCTCGGCTCGCGCTGCAGCCCCGCTTGAAGGAGGCTGCTGGCACCTCTTCCCTCTGCCAGGCCCTGATGTTCACCAGACATGCAGGAGCTGACTGTCTTGGGGATTTCTGCTGTCCTGTCCACTCCAGATCGAGAGGTTCAATAGCTACACAGTGAGGCGGGCAGACAGAGGGACAAGTGGCAGGTGGACCTCCCAAACCTCATTTTCTTGGGAAAAATCCTAATATCTTTTCTTTCCTAAAACTCCTGAAGTTGTTCCCACAGGTGCTAGTAACAGGACCATTGACACTGACACCTGACAGGGCTTTGAGGGCACTAATTGGCCTTAATAGCCCTGACCAGCCTCACCTGGAGGCTTCCACCCACATCCATGGGCCCTGGGGCATATTTAAGCTCTTCTCAGGGCCTCTGCTCCATGCTTGAGTTTTGGTGTAGGGGTGCTAGTCTCCAGCCTGGCCCCAGATGTTCTTCTACCTGGCCAATGACCCTGCTGGTCTGGACTTCAGCTTACAGACTGATATCCTGGTCCTTGACCCAGTGTCGTCACTGTGGACCTGGTTGTTATTTTGTACTGAACCAAAGAGTTCAGAATCCTCAGTTTTTTCCAGAGAAGGTTATAACGGACAGCATGTTGGCCGCATGATTATCATCACAAGATACAGAGGCCATATTTTCAACAACAAAAATACACTAGCAAGTTGTGATGTTGCTAAAGGATGCTTCGTAAGAAAATGGGGTAAGAACAGGCAACTCCCTGAGAGACCAGTTTGGATCTGTAGAACTGTAGCATTTGCTCTGCTCCAGTTTACATGCAAGTAAATCCTTTTTTAGCTAAAAGCAATGAAACTATTTTATATTAATAACTCTGGCTCTACTGGAGAGCTGGCAGAGCAATGGTGCATGTCCTGATACCTGCCTATAGTAACACTACACACATCCCTCTTGTTTTAGCACAGGTTCAGTGTGAAACCTGAAAGCAGATAAAAAGGAGAGAGTTCCTGGAAAGAAGATGCCCTTCGCTGTTCAGCTGCGCTGGGAAGCGGTCTGCTGAAGAGGTACAGCACCGGCACTCACTTTGGCAGAAATCTGAGGTGTGGGAGGTTTTTTTTACTAGCTGCATAATGGTTTTTTGGAGCAGAGAAGCTGTGGTTTGGGTCTGAGAACTCCACTTCCCCAGGGAAAATCTAGCCTAAGACCGAGAAGTCAGAGGGACTTTGGCATTAAGTGCGGGATGGGACCCCCATATATCAAACTTCAGCTTGGGAAGGGGTTTGAGTTTAGCTCCTTGAAGGTGTAGCTGCAGACAAGGCTTCCTGAGCTGCTCCCAACAGACATCGAGAGAGCATTGCCTCTACATGTTGGACAGAGTGATGGAGTTGAAGTAGCTCAGCAAGTCCTCCATGGTGAAGTCCATGGCAATCCCTGACCCTGCATAACAGCGATGGATCAGATCCTCAAACTCTTGGTACTGATGTATGAACTCCTGCTCCATAGCATGCCACACCACCTAGGGAAAAACAGACGGTCAGCTCCCTTCATCAGCCCGGGACAGCTATACATGCTCTGCAGTCCTGAACCCCCCCAAAACACCACAGCATTACACTCAGATCACACTCCAATTACCGGCAAAAGATTTTCCTCTGGGGAGAGATACTTGTGGATTTTCCTGTAGAGGGTCTCAAGGGCTCTTTTTACTTCCTTGCCAGGGTATTTTTCAATGACCTTCCTCAGCTCTTGCTTGCTGTAGGCCAGCTGAAAGCTGACCTCTTCTTCTTTCACCCCTTGAGCCACACGGGCTTTCACCCCTTCAAAGAAGTGCTGGAAAGGCAAGGAGACATTCACATATGAGCTGCCCTAAGGCGGACTCCTGCATCAGGGCTGAAACCTGCCCACTTTCCTCAGTTCCTTTCCCATGCCTAATTAAGGGGAAATGAAGTATTGGAGATTGTTTATCCTCCAGGAAAGCAGGGCATAGGGAACTTTATCAGTTCTCTTCCCTCCCTGCTCGGCAAGCAGCATCTCTAAGGGTTGCAGTACCATGGAGCAATGGGACTGCTGGAAAAATCGCTCATGTTCCTTGGTGCTTCATACAGCTTTGCTTGGAGCCAGAGGTGGGGTTGGGGGATCCCAGAATCTGCAGAAGTGTAAAGCAAAACTCAAGTTTTCTCAGTTCTTCTAGGATATTGTATGAAAGCAGGAAAGGCTGTTCTGTAGGGAGGAGTTTCAACAGGAGCACATGTCCCACCCCAAGCATGGCTGTTGCTTGAGAGCCCAGGGCTATGCCAACCCCAAGGGACGCAGACCTCAGCTAGCTTTCAGGAAAGTACCAGGAGCAGTGTAGCTCCACAAAAAGCTCAATGCTGACAAATATTTTTTTCTGCCTGAGCTTTTGAGACACAGAATCTGTCAGGCTGGAAGGGACTTCAGGAGGTCTCTAGTTCAACCTCCTGCTCAAAGCAGGTTCAACACTAAATGCAAATGAGGGTACCTGGGGCATTTCTCAAGGTAGGTCTTGAAAACCTTCAAGGATAGAGGCTGTGCAACCTCTCTGGACAGACTGTTTCAATGCTTTATTATCTCTATAGTCATTTTTTCCTTCTATCCAGCTGGAACCTTCCTTTTTACATTTTCTGAGTGTTGTCTCTCATCAGCCTGCTGTGCACCTCAGTAATTTTCTACGGAAGGTAGCTACTAGGTACTCCTGAAATTGTTTCTTCTTCAGACTGACCAAGTCCAGCTCCTTCAGCCTCTCCTCACCACGTTGGTGGCCCTCCACTGGCCTTGCTCTGGTTTAGCAACACCTCTTGTCACAGGTGGATGTGACATACACCTCTATCTATCTCTTCCACAGCTGGACATGGTATTCCACATCTGGTCTAATGAAGGCTGAAAAAAAGGGAATAATCACTTCCTTCAACCTACTGTCTACCCTCCTGTTTACACAACCCAATAATCTGTTTGCTGTCTTGAGTATTTCCACTGCAATTTTGCTGTGGAGAAATACCCTAAATCCTAAGGATTTTCAGAAGGAAAGAGGTTCCTAAATGTAGAAGCTGTTTTCAAAAACAGAAATGGGCTCCTGCATCATTTAGGCCCCTTTGCAACTTCTCTTGATGTTAGGGAATTGTGCTCAAACCTGAAGAGCTATGTGGTCTGCTAGAGAAGGCCGTGTCAGGACTCCAGAAATCCCTGCGCAGAATGCAGTCCAAGTACCCTCATATGTTACTCGCTTTGCTTTGTTGTGAGCAACGAAATTATACTTTCCCTCACAGAGGAAGGGTTTGAAGCCACTAACATAGCAGGGCTGCAGGGAGCATGAGACACCGAGCTGATCTTCCAGTCAAGCCTACAAGATGTTTGACAGCAAAGACTGGAAACAAATTGAAAGTAACAGGCCCTATAAATAATTCAAGCTGCTCTCAGCCTGTGAGACATTTTAGGCCAGCGAGAAGAGAGAAGGAGCAGAGCGAGGAGGGGTCTCGGGAGCAGCCCGTCTTCTCTGGGAGGAAGGGGGATGCCTGTTCGAGTTAGCAAAGCCAGATGCTCTTAGCTCAGTTAGCAAAGCAGCCGCTTGGGAAGGGTGAAGCTGTGTTGGACTTATTAGTCCAGGCAGCCGTGCAAAAAGAAACCAGCATCTGCCAGACGCAGGCACGCAACCCGGAGCCGGGGTCTGAACAGGTCCTCACGCCGCTGCACGGAGGCCGAGTTGCAGAGCTGGTGCTGCTGAGCCCTGTTCTTGCCGGGGCTGTGCTGCCCGGTGAAACCCAGCAGCAAGTGGTCAGAGAAGGTGTGGGAACATTGGGGATGTGACAACACGCTAATGTAATCCCAGACTGGATTTGGGGAGGGGTGATTTGAACACCAGCTAATTCATAATTTTGGGAAGTGCAGTTGCCCTTTGAGACCCAGGCAAGGGTCAGTTTATCCTGTACTCACATGGAGCTTCTCCAGGGGCTGGCCCAGGTACTTGATGACATATTTCTCCATGTGCTCGCTATATCTTTGCTTGGCTTCTCTCTTCTTGCCCTCCAGGCAGTGGATCTTCTTTTGGCACAGGAAGCAGTGAATGTGGTGGAAATTTTCCATCATGACCATATCTGTGTTCACCTTCAGGTTTGCTGAGGGCAGACTATTGACTTAAAAGAAAGGAACACATCAGGTATAGAGAGAAGACCCTGCAGGCTGGGTCAGGAGGGACATGAGAAGCGGACGCTGTTAGGCTTTGGTCACCAGCGGAGAGTTTAACCAAGAGCTGAGGTGAGCATCATCACAGGTTGTTCAGCTCTTCAACCACCTTGGCTTGCAGAGCTTTGGGGTGATGACATTTAATAACTGTTTACCCAAAAGGGTGCAGCGACATCCAAGTCCAGCCCTGTCCAAATCTGTTTCCGACCTGGGTGCCGGACTCAGCATGGCACACGCTCAGCCTGCCGAGCGGAGGCATGGCTCACCACGCGGCCAGCCGCTTGCCAGCTGGTCTGGAGAGGGCGAGAGCTGGAGTAGCTCGTTGTGCGTGCAGAACAGAGAGGGCCCTTCTCAGGTCATTAGGCTGTCTCATTTGAACCGTCTGACTTCTTCCAGTATCGGAGGGAGTAACTATCCGTAACGCAAATACCGATCCCTGTTCGTTAGCTTGATTCCCTACCTCACCTGCTTCGCTGTAAACGTTGTTGGAGCCTGGAAGAGGTTGTGTTCATGGATTATTGAGCTGCTATTCGGTGGGTCACCCCAGGCTCATGTGCTGGAAGGAGCTGCGAGGTACAACACCTCGTGATCTGTGGCTCGGAGGCTTGGAGGTTCTGCAGCCCTTCAGGTCCGCTCCAAGCTGGGAAACAGGGTCCCTCCACTGACAAACAGCTATGAGCACCAGCTGGGACAACCCAGGCACCTACTGAAGGCTACCCGCCTTGCTCTCCCAACCCCTCTCTCCCTACCAATACGCCCTGGTGTTTTGGGGGGAGTTGCTCTTTGGCTGCCACTGCTCCCAAGACCTCTGTGCTTGTGAGAAGAAGAGTCTGACCTGTAGTGAGGAGCTACTCCCTCCGTAGTGGGAAAGAAGAGGTTGACATTAAATTCAAAGCTAAGCACATGTGTCTCAGCCCTGTCCCACAACTGGGACCATCCCGGTGTGGCAGACACCGTGCACCTGGCTTGCCACACTCTCTGAATTTGTCTGATGCTGCCAGGCTCTTGCTCAGTGAAGGCAGTTTCAGCCCCAGGCAGTGCCCAGGAGGCAGGTAGCCTGCACGTACCCTGCTGTGGTGGCTCAGCTGATTGCTAGTAACTCCTGAAGCTGCAGGTATACATTTGCCCAACTGATGCATCCAGCCGCCAGCCTTTGTACTCACTGCTGCTGAAGACGCTGCTGGCCAGCCTGAGATGTGCTTTGTCCAGCTCTCCTCTCCGCCGAGCTGTCCTGAACACCTCCTCCGAGAAGTTCACAAACTCCTCAAAGCAGCTCACGGAGGGCAGGATCCCGCCTTTCATCTTGCTGGGCATCTTTGCCTCCTCAATCTCTTTGCACAAGGTCCCCTGCAACAACACAGAAGACATGGCACTCTCAGATCTGACGTGGCCCCAGCCTCATTTTATGGCACACTGAGGCATAGGCCAGAAAACAAGAAAAGTAGGCAGTTGTGTGTACCACTTTTTCCATTTACGATATCTTCTATGGGAAGATTTGTGAGCTGCTTGGTTTGAGGCTGGACGTGAAGCTGCACTAGCTGCTCTCCTGGAGTTGCCGTACCTGGTCTCCCAGGCTATGCGGTTCTCTGCTCAGACACAGTGCTGCAATCACCCCACGCAGACACCCGCAGCTCCTAGGGCAGAGGTGTCCACCACTGCCATTTCTTGCCCCTCTCAGGCTGGTTTATGAGCAGACTTGCTGCTCCAGGTCTTGGCACAAACACAGTTGATGTCAACATGTGGCTTCCCTTGACCTCAGTGGGCTCAGGGCCAGGTTCCTTGGCCACTTGTGATGGGCTCTCGACTCCCCCACACTCCCCTCCTCACTGCTTGGTCCTGGAGCGTGTCCTGCTGTGCCAGCAGGAGAACAGGAGAGCTTGGCTCCAGCCATCTGACATGCTGCTGTCACTCTCACAGCCTCCCAGTATCCTATATGGGGGAAACCCCTTTGGTTTGACCATCCTGGTAAAAGGCACAGATGGCACTTAGGTTTATTGTGTCCCACCTCCCTCAGACGCAATTGTTGATGCAATGAGGGTCTAGTCCTCCCAAAACCAAAGAGCCAGATCCCTGCCAGATCTTCATAAACCGTGAAGATAACATGATCTTCAATGAAGATCATGTTAGAAGTTTAGAAGATTCTGGAGGAGGTCAAACATCACTCAGGTCTACTTGGGCTTACTTCTACTGACACTCACAATGCATTTGTTGAAGCTGCTCTTGGCCAGGAGCAGCATGTTGCCCAGGACAGTGTTGAGGAAGGAGGAGGAGAGAGCTGAGGAAGATCCCCACATCTCAAAGACGGAGTCATTCAAGGTAACCAGGACCTGCAAGCAACTGAATGGGTGGACCTTATTGCAGACATCTAGAAATCCTCTCAGCTCCGGTTCCAGGCAACTGAAGATCTCGCTCAGCAGCTGGGTCGTAGGTCCTTCTAGTCTTAAAAAAAAACCAAAACAAAACGTAAGCAATTAAATGGGGAGGGGCACTGGCCCTGTGGCCAGCTGCAGAGGCAAGGGCAAAGCTAAAGAAAGAATCAAAGCCTTCTGTATTGCAGTGGAGTCTGTTTATGCTTGGATCGTCCTTCAACTCTTCACCGTCTCTGCTTGTGGGTGGACGTTGAAATGTTTTGCTAGCCAAATGAAAAATTTCAGTGTTTTTATGCTGACATTTTTTATAAGACTTTTGTTCCATAGTATATTTTCACTTTATGACATTCCTAATAATTAAATAAAACCAATCAAAACATAGGGTTTTCCATGAAACATAAACCTTGCTTTCTGATCCACCCTGAAGCAGAGCCACTGTGCTGGGGAGAGGCAGAACCAGGAGGCTCTGCTCAGCCTCTGCATGCCCAGCTGTGATGCCTCCTGGTTTTTTGCTACCCAGGGTGCAAACCTGAGACCACTGAGTTGACATCAGGATGGTCAAGAGTGGAAAAAAAATCCCTCCATCGGTTCCTGGAGGACACTCCAGACCATGCCCCTGTCAGAGCAGCCAGCTGTGTCTCATCACCCACGTACTGGCTCTGAGGCTTGGTGCAAGGAGGGTCCTCTGGAGATGCTGTGCTCTCTCCTCCCTTAGTGGCAGATGTCTGAAAGAAAGAATGGGATGGAAATTATGATTTGTCTGCCCTCCCTCAGAGAGGAAAACTTCAGATCTGCTTTTCATTTCTGCTGCCTCATATTGGAGTCCTGTGTTTAATGCTTAGAGATCCTATGATTTTCCTGGAGCTATCAATTAAGCTCAATTCAATTCTCCTCTCCTCCTGTCATCAGGAGGTCTTAAGCTTCCCCACCACTGACACCGCTGACAGTTGCTAGAGGACAAGAGCCCAGGAGAGCTCAGGCATCTGACAGAGGTAAGCAGCCACCCCACTGTGCCTGCTGAGCCTTGTATCAAGCTGGAGGGAAGACTGGCTGATGGGACTGGAGAAGACATAGTCCTCACACTTACCTCCAGCACCTGCAGGTCTGCAGCGTCCTGGCTTAGCTGGAAGAATTTCTTAATGAACTGCTGCTCTGCGGTGCAAAGGGGTTGCAGCTCTCTCAGCACCTGCTCCAACATCTGCTTAGAAACCATCAGGCATGTGAGAAAACCCTTCTAGCACACACTGAGGACACTGGAGTAGATGTCCATGTCCACCTGAAGTGACATCTAAGCCAGGTCAGCAGTACAGAACATCTCTGCTTCTGCTCCAGGTACACAGCACTAGAGAAAGGACCATGAGATGGGTTGCAGCACTGGCACAGCCCCTATGGGACACGTGAACCCTTTAGAAAAGCTCAGCTCCTTACCTTGATGACGTTGCCTTTGTCCGGTGTGTCCTCCTGGCCTTCTCTGCTCCCAGGGAGACTCCATCGAGACTGCTGCCTGCTCCCCATCGCCAGCGGCTTCTCTAAGCTTTCCTGAAGACCTGCACGGTGTGTTGGTAGGTGGTTAGACATCTCCATCCCTCTTGGCCTCTCCAGCTCCTTTGATCATTGTAACAGATTTAAATGTCTCTTTTTATGTCCGATCTTGTGCGTGAATTGGTCTTTTCCTGCCGGATTCAGATATACGGGGGATGCAGGTTTTGCTCGCATTTTTTATCTGCCTTCTCATCTGTTTGTCTCTCTTTTTCATTACTCTCTTTTTATTTCACTGTCTGTGATGCTTACCCCTTTGCTCTTTAGTGCTTACTAATACTAACTCTCGAGGACTGGGGAGTAAAAAATCCTAGGTGATTAGAGCATAAATTGGCAGAAATGCCTGCAAGAGTTGCAGGAAAAAAGTTTGTCGCTTAGTTTTGGTGGTAAATTGCCATAAAACAATATCCAGGTGGGGGGGGGTTGGCTTTTTTAAAAAACTAGACTTTAAAATTTATAAACATTCACCTGAAAGTTCAAATACTTTTCAAACATTACCAGTTTTTACCACACTGTTTTCAGTGGGTGCGTGGCTTAACTGGAAAAGTTGAAAAATTTCTTTGAAATATGCATTAAAAAAATACTATTATACTCACTGAAAGAAATCAGTGGGGAAACATCCCTATTATTTTCTAATTAATTCTAAAAATTGGTATCATTCCACTAACTCCAGAGGTCCCGGGTGAGTCAGGCCAGCTTTCCATTTCTCATAACATCCAAAATATCCTTATTCAAGCCACTACCTGCAGGGCTTTTACCTTTGGAAAGGATTTGTCAGATGCCCTACATGCTGAGCAGGGAGGAGAGATGACAGACAGCCCTGCTCACGACCTCAGCCTTGCTAAAACCATGGAGAAAATTAATAAGCTGCTTCATAATCTTTTTCCCACCCTTGTGCAATGGGTGATGATAATTTCACGTGCTGGGAAGTGGCAAAACCAGGAAAAAAATATCTCCCCACAGCAAACAGGAAAGAATTTTACAAGCCTCTAAATTTTAGCGTGGAAAAGGGAATGGGAAAATGAAGAGAAAAGACTTAATTATTGGCTCACAATTAATTATGAAAAGCTTAGGGTTTGCCTTCTAAACTCTCCCATAATACTGAAACACGGCAATAAATCATTAGGTGGTATACTTAGAAGCGATCGACATAAATAATCCTTTATGAAGGCAGGGAGCAACCCTAAAAATTCACTGCCATGGTAATCAGCAGAAAGAAAGAGGCACGGAGAGGTGGAGCGAGCCTGGGATATTTTAAAGCAGGGATGAGGGATGTTATCAGGCAAGCGTCCTTGCAGCCTGGGCTTTCATCCGCCCAGCGGCTCACCCCACGGAGACCCTGAGCAGGTGAAACGTCAGGAAAGACCTTGGATGGGGTTCCCGCAGAACTTCATCAAAGCCAAACCTCAGCAGAAAGAAAGAGGCACGGAGAGGTGGAGCGAGCCTGGGATATTTTAAAGCAGGGATGAGGGATGTTATCAGGCAAGCGTCCTTGCAGCCTGGGCTTTCATCCGCCCAGCGGCTCACCCCACGGAGACCCTGAGCAGGTGAAACGTCAGGAAAGACCTTGGATGGGGTTCCCGCAGAACTTCATCAAAGCCAAACCTTTCCTGAGACCCACCAATTTCGCAG